CTGTATCAGATTCATGTGCGGAACCTCCCCCCAGCTTATTGTAATATTTACTCTATCAAAATGTAACTTATTTCAGGAATGGACACTACAGGCAACAATCTGTGTTTCACCGCGCTCTCCATAGGCCTAAACCCAGATGTCGAAAATAGGTGTGTATGCTTAGCCATTATGTGATTTATTTTATATATAGTCATTTCTGTGAAGAAAATCTGTTAGTATAAGTACGGAGCGAAATTATAAAATCCCTGGGGCCGGTTGTATAAAAAAGTGATTAAAGTTAACTATAATTAAGTGCAAACGTCATCCAATAAGAAGCGCGTATTTGAGAGTTAACCAATATTTAACTACTAAATAGTGATTAAAAAAGTAATAAGAGAGGTTAAAATACCCCGGTTCCGGTTTACGGGTACGAGTGATATACACGTATCCGTACCCGTAAATCGAGGAACGACTTGTCACTTAAGAAATCCAAGATATTCCGGCGTGAGAAAACCGATCAGAGAATGGCAACTTTCGTTGTTGAGGTTCTTCGTTGATTGTTGAAAATTTTGACAAGTATATGCATAGCAGCCCAAAACGGCGTGTAGAATGCACCAAATGCTTCCAAATGTCAATTTATATTAAGCTCGCCCCATTCCTCTGTCATTTTTCGCGCGCCGCAAGCACTCAATGAAAAGCATTGTTCATATATAGAATATACCTAAGGTTGGCAACTTATATCTCAACTGACGAATATACGACTGCGGCAAAACGCAAAACACTTCGCACACGTAAATAAAACATGATAAAAAATTATACCACATTACATCCGTTTTCAAAATTACGCGACCAAGGACGAAAATGCTAGATTTGACATGTCAGCTTTATGTCGTTCGGTCACGAAGTTTAAACTTTGAGTTTTGCGGTTCCCTTGTCGATGTATATGCTTTGTATGCTTTATATAAACAGCCTTACAATGATTTTCAAGATATTTTAGTGAGAATTATTGCAAAATTTAAGCACAAACAAAATCATAACATCACCGTTATAGTCTAGCGCGCGAGTTTTATACTGACAGCTAAATTCCGGGATAAATTGTTATTTTTCAAACTTTAAAAGTTATTCACGGCACATATTTCTGTTGTGATGGTTTGTATTGTGCTTTAGCTTGTATATCTAAGTTATTTCACTCATTTTTGTTCAGTTTAAAATGCCTTTTTTGTTTGTACGGTTTAAAATGCCTTTTGACAGTTTGTTTACGTTTGCTATTTTTAGCAGTTTTTGTGACATAAAACTGACATTTGAAGTAAGAGCATTTTTCAGGGAGGTCGCGTAATTTTGAAAACGGGTGTAAACTCTGATAATTTTTCTATATACTCGCATATAAATTTTGTTTTCAAGACTGCAAGAAAACTGAAAAATTTGCACAAACGTTTCATGGTCTGACGAAAATTTTGTTGTCTCTATGCGGGATGCTAGAGGTTATTTCATTCGTCATATTTTCAAAAAAATTATGTGATTCAATTGGTTGAAAAAGTAAACAGTTTGTGACGTATTTAAAGTAAAAAATTGGTTTCAGGGGGGGGGGGGGTTGAACTACAACAGGAAGACTGTTAAAATACAAGAGCGAGTTTTTTTCGAAGATGAAATGGTGGATTTTAACAACTTTTTAAATCTATCCATAACTTTTATCTACAGCAAAAGAACCAGGCAACTTTTGGCTACATGTACACGTAATGTCATAAAATTCTGAGCAATAATGGCGAAGAAATGATTTGTTAACAAGACGGCGACATGTGAACACGTTCTTGTGAACCTCAGAAAAGTTATAGGTATGAATTTATTTTATAGTGTTTTTAATACTGTAACTTGGAACAATAGGTTGGATCATTCATGACATTACGTGACAGTGTATGTACATGTAGCCAAAAGTTGCCTGGTTGTTTTAGATAAAAGTTATGGATGGATGTAAAAAGTTGTTAAAATCCACCATTTCATCTTCGAAAAAAAATCGCTCTTGTATTTTAGCAGTCTTCCTGTTGTAGTTCACCCCCCCCCCCCCTGAAACCACATTTTTGCTATAAATACGTCACAAACTGTTTACTTTTTCAACCAATTGAATCACATATTTTTTTTGAAATTATGACGAATATAAAATAACCTCTAGCATCCCGCATAGAGACAACAAAATTTTCGTCAGACCATGAAACGTTTGTGCAAATTTTTCAGCTTTCTTGCAGTCTTGAATACAAAATTTATATGCGAATATATAGAAAAATTATCAGAGTTTAATGTGGTATAATTTTTTATCATGTTTTATTTACGTGTGCGAAGTATTTTGCGCTTTGCCGAAGTCGTATATCCGTCAGTTGAGATATAGTTGCCAACCTTAGGTATATTCTATATATATATGAACAATGCTTTTCATTGAGTGCTTGCTGCGTGCGACAAATGACAGAGGAATGGGGCGAGCTTAATCCAAATTGGCATTTGGAAGCACTTGGTGCATTCTACACGCCGTTTTGGGCTGCCTATGGTATATGTGCAGTATTTAATTGGGTAAGATATTGAAAATTTGTACTATTTGAACGGCCCACAAATAGTAAACAGAAAACACCCGTACCCGTTTGTTTTTTACGTGTAGACAACGGTTTACCGCGGGGAAACAGGTTGAAATTACTGGTAAAAATGCTCACATCAGAAAAAATTGGTAAACAAAATGGCGATACTCGTACCCGTAAATAGGCTTGGGTAAATTATGCTCGAAAAATTTGGCTATTATGCCCGAAGGCAGTGCTCGTTAAAACAATGTATTATGCTCGTGAAACAGCCTATTATGCTCGAATTATGCTCGAGGAAAATTCCATTTTAATAGGTACAAAAACTCAAAAAGTCGTACATTTTATATTAGCTTTAAAATGTTCGGCAAACAAGCCAGATCTGACTTTCTGGGAGCTTTCAATACAGTCTAGCATTTACAACTAAATTATTTCCTACTTCTTGCCTTCAGATTCCTCATCGTCTATAATTTCCTGGGGCTTCGCCCTCGCGGATTCCGCAAACCTGCCTCGGGTTACGGGACCATTTAATCACTAATCTCCCTCAAGCCATGCTATTACTTATAATAAATATTTATAATATAAATATTATAAATACTCGTTCATGGTATGCGCTTGCTAGATGTAGGTGTACAATTGCTCAAAATGTTTAGTTAGCAACGAATAATTTCATATCATACAGTAAGGGCCATCGTCAGACGAAGTGTGGATGCATGAGCTCGTCGAATTATTTCATGATTCTTTTCTTAATTTTTTCACAGCTGTTTGAGTTATTTATATATTGAATTTGGTTTTATGTTTAGAAGTCGACCTAAATAGATAACAAGTTGATTGTTAGTTGTTATTAGACAATTCCAAAATGTTCTGACTGACAGCGAAAGTTACTTATTTGCAATGAAAATATAAATTTTCCGTCTCGATCACCTCATGTTATTGTTTCGTGTGCACTAAAGCAAATTGGGAAGTTACTTTTGCCTAATGAAAAAAACTCGACTTCTGTTTTCAGGCTTAGAAAGGAAATTGACACTGTAATCGGTGAATCAGAAGAGATTAAAGCAAAAGATATTATGTCTATGCAATATCTTACGCAAGTGGTGAAAGAATCCCTGCGTCTACATCCACCAACACCTGCCCTAACAAGAAGAACTGATAAAGATACCTTGATCGGCAGCGTAATGATTCCCGGTGATACACCTATCATGGTGAACCCATATGCCATTCAGACCCACCCTGATTATTGGGAAGATCCGCATGATTTTAAACCGGAGAGATTTGCTTCTGTTGAAAACCTCCATCCATATGCATACTTTCCGTTTTCACTCGGTCCACGGCGCTGCATTGCACCTCAGCTGGCAGATTTGCAGGTGAAATTGGTTATTGCCCGTCTATTGAAAAAGTTCAAATTTAAATTGTTGCCAGGTCAAACCCTGAAGCTTGCTGAAAATATTTCGTTCGGTCCGGTTGGAACTGTTCGTTGCACACTAGCATTTGCTGATCAACACTAGACTAAACAGATGGCTAAAAATCTTCAAGTTTAATTGAAAAACGTTTATAAGTATGCTGGTTAGATGCTCATTCATCGATTGTACCAAGTTTTTCGTATTCACCAAGTTTTTGACATTACCTTACTATAGCTTTTCACGTGCTATTTAAAACATGAGCAGCAGACTGTTTTTTCAGATATGTTTTTCCAGATATTCATATATAAATCTTTAGGTCTGATAAAACACGCACTGCGAATGTTTTAAATTGCGCGCTTCAAAAACGATCGATCTAGTGAGTTCATTGGCGAAGTAATTTTCGAAAAATATCTTTTGTAAGTCGAGAAAATCAAAATTAAAGTTTATGTAAATCAAGGGAAATCTCTATCACATATAAAGATACGATACGCTTATGATTTTTCTTTGTGTTTTCCTCATGAATTATTAAGTTGGCCTCTTTTCTCCCTTCTTTTAGCAAGTCTTTCGGCTTTTTTTTTCTCAACAAGCTTTTGAAATTTACAAAATCTTGCAAAAATGAAATAATATTTACAAGAAATGTTTGTTATTTCGCTGTCGT